AAAAAAAAAAAAATCTACCTTCAGGAATGAAGACAACTCTCAAGACCTTCATCTTTGTCACCGAGGCAGATGGTGCTTTTCAAGGGCAGATGCAGGACACACAAATTTCAAGCATGACAGCAAAGAAGTCCCTTCTGCTCGTTTCATTTTGTAGAAGAAGAAAATAATAAAACTTCTCATCGATCCCTGGACTGCACTTGAGTGAGAGCTGTTAGCTGTCACAAATAGAAACAACTCAGGAGTGTGAAGAGGGTCAAGTGGAGGATCAGCTCATTACTGTGATTTAAGAATGGAGGAGACAAATGCTATTCTCATCATAAATGTTTTCTTTCTTGTTCTATACTGCAAAAGGAAGGACATTCAATGCTGTGCTTCAAAGTCACATTGCAATCCCAATCTAGTTGTTCATGTTGGGTTTAATATAAACAAAGTCTAATTGCATATACAGCTTTGTAAATCCTCAGCATCACTGGAGCTGCCCTGATGAGAGATCAGAATTAGGTACAGTATTTCCTCCCTGCCAGTAACAGGTTTTGAATGGAAAGCCTGGAATGTAAAAAAAGAAATAATGCTAAAAATCCAATCACTCTGACATCCTGTGAGCTAATAAGAGCACGTGAATGCAACAAGCTTAGTACTTCACAGTAATTAATTTGACAGCAAAGAGCTAACAAGAAAACAACAGGCAGAGCAGTGATGACTGGTTCATAGAGGTCACTGTCAAACAAGAAATAGGTGCAAACACAGTTCATCTCCCTTTGGAAAAAACTATTTCGTTGCCCCAGTGAAAATGAAAAGTCCAAAGAGGGAAAATACAATGGGTTCGGTGGGGATAACAAATCTGGCAAGGTATTTCTACAGTAAAACAAGGTAGAGGTTTTCTTTCTTACATATGGGATTTTTAATCATCCCCTGTTACTCACTGTAGTGGCATGTTTTGGTTTTTGCATTTCCCCCCCTCTCAGTTAGCTAAAGCCATTTTGCATATTCAAATATTGGGAAGACTTATCTTCTCTCACAATTACTAACAAACTAATACTCTAATAACCTCTATTGTTATTTAAAGGGTGTCCAACACAGCATTCTGGAGGCAGTTCTCACACAATGGACTTTCTCTGGCTTCCTCCTAGAGAAGAACTTAATCAAACCTCAGATGCTTTCAGGCAGAAGAGCCTTCGGGGAGAGCAAACAGGGTTAACAGAAAGAAATGTGCCATCTGATTTCTAATCTTGCTCAGGGAGCATGGCCTATTGATTGAGCCATAAAGCTCTGTTAATTTTAATATTTCCTCAGCTTTCAGTTCTTTCCCTTGGGCATAAACTTGTTGCTGACACACAGTGGCTGAGCTATCAGGGAGAGGGTAGCTTCACACTCCCCGACTCGGCTCTCTTCCCCTCCTCCCCTCCATTCTATTTGTTCTGAGCTCATCTGCGTGAGGATACATTTTCACACACACCTTCTCAAACCGGCTGCTATTCATCTGATTCAGGGTCATGCTTTTCCATACATTAAATGCAGGGGAAAACTGGGAAGGAAATGGCTGGGATTTGTGCTTGACGGGCAAGCACACGATTAGCCAGGGAGCCCTGCTGTGAGAAAGTACAGCGTCGGAGGGTATTTTCTGTGGAATCATCCAGTCTCATGACTGGAATCTGATGCCTATAAAAAGCTACTATATAATGAAAACAGGATAAAGTGAGATCCTCAGGCAGTGTAAGTCGGCATGTTCCCGAGACATCCGACTGCTGCACAATCACGGAACAGGTCAGCTTGGAAGGGACCGCCTGTGGGGCCATCTGATCCAACCTCCCTGCCCAAACAGGGTCCTCCTAGACACAACTCTTTCTTCCTTTATAACCTCGGTATTTGCTTACGCACATTTTTCTCAGGGGTAAGGAGGCAGAAGTCACTCTTGGAGAGGCCAGTCAGTGCAGCCCTGAGCTAGAAACGGAGCAGGAGGCGATGGCACAGGGCAGCTCCCTCAGTGCTCTGTGTTTCCACCATGCCTTCAGTGGGACCATGAACAATTTACATTAGCAAAGGATCTAGCCCTTCACCTTTAGCTAAAGCACCTTTTATGCACTTAAACCATTAATAATATCTATTAGGTAACCATGTTAATCCCTTTGAGGTAGGATTTCCTCTACTGTACTGATGGCTGAACTGAATAAAAGCTTCACATATGAGAGGGCCTGGTTTGCACTAGAAATGCTTCTCCTTTGATAACCAGCAAATACAAGTTTTACTAGCACAAGCATCTTTTTCTGCAAGCGTTTCCCAAATAAAATAGGCTATACTGGCAAAAGCATTTTTTTTTTTTGCTCATATAGCTGCATCTATATGGGGGATTTTTGCACGTAGTGAAACGCAATCTGTTTTAAATGGCACTTCAGAAGAGCATTGCTATCCCACAGAAGTTTCAAGGCTAGACCTTGAAGTATATACTTCTGCCTCATATCTGAAAGAGCTTTTTACAAAGTGGCCATTGTCATCTTGCAGGAAATACAGAGAAACTGAGACACACGGATTGGGAGTGCTGTGCTCTATCTGGAATTTGTGTTCATTACATTCTTTAGCTTCAGATGAAATTATGTATCCATAATCAGACTCATTCCTCACTATGCAAAATTTCTTCTTGAACAACTGTGACAAAGACAGTGGGTGTTTCAAAAGCAGCATAGTTCTGTATGAAAGAAAAGTCCTATTGAAAATCAGGTAGGTAAATGCCATTCTGAATGACCTAGACATTTTCTGAACTGTCAAATGTAGACCAAACTCGTTAAAAAACAAAAACACTAAGAGGCTATTCTGGCTTCTTTGCTCCTACCCATGCTTTTTTAATTGAAAACTGTTTGTTAACAGAGATTTGTTCTCTAAAAGAAAGGGTCCTACTCTGAACAGCACTTGGAAGAAGAGGGGTTTAGCAGACAGAAATGAAAGACCTGACCAAACTGGGAACTCTTCGTCTAAAGCAGGTACAACGAGAATCTGAGTCACAGAGAAATACAGTAGAGCCCTCAACAGGTTTTGAAGAGCACCTATTGAATGCTAGCTTTCAGCACAAGTGTCAGGCAGGATGGGGGCCATGGGGGAGACAGCAGGACAGGGTGGCAGGGATATACTCACAGCCTCAGCCTCCTGCTCCCAGTGCACCTGCTTCAGCACGGCTGCAGTCCCGCTCCCCTCACCTCAGCTACCTGGCTGTGCTTCACGGGCAGTGTGTTGGCTGGTTGGTCCTCTTCAACGAGCCCTCCATGCTCTGGGAGGGTTTGCAGCCGAGCCCCAGGTTCCCTGTGGGAGTGAGCGTGGCTGAGTGCCGTGCCCGTGGTGCAGCGCAGGCTGGTCCCTGCGCACAGCAGCGTCCCTTTGCCAGAAGGGCTGACCTCAGGGATCTGCTCCAGTCCCCAGGGTAAAGGGACCACACGCCATCGGGTGGATATCCCCTGTGATATTCAAGAGCTATCCTCTGATTGTTGATGGCCCAGAGTGTTCTTGCTTTGCTCGCACAGTCTGTCCTCTGCAGTCCAAAGCCGTAGCCTTATAACCAGGCTGTGACTTCCTCTGAAGTTGCTTGTATTGACCTAAATAGGTTGGGGCGGGTGAGGACACACAGAGAACATGAAAAAGCTGTGCTGGTTGCCCAACAAAGAAGTGTCTGCTTTGTGGTGAGCACTTTTAACATATAAGCACTTTTAACATGCTGTAAAGAACATGATTTTCATGTTTGTTTAAGTTCACACCAAAAGGCTTGCAAAGTAGCAAAGTGGGTAAAAATAAAATCTGCATTTAAGTGGTAAACAAAATAGTTAAAACCTGACTTTTTGTAATTTGAACGCTACTTACTGAGGCAGGGCATTCAGAAGTCCATGGGTGTTTTTCTTTTGTCATCCACCCATGATTGATGTATCTGATAGATCCAGAAATGAACTTTAGCGTGGAGCAATGTTAAAATCAGCTCTCCTGAGAAAAGCAGTGGTAATCAGGGAGTGGTGACAAGATAGAGATGTTTCCCTCAGATTTAAAATGAAGCTCAGAGGCAAAAAATGGCTGGTAGCTTTGCAATGCCCTAAGAGAAATGGAGTACCCGGATCATTTCACAGTGGATTATCAGTAGTACTCCATGAGTACCTGAACATAAACTTTATTTTCCCCCACAAGCAAGTAGCAAGTAGAGGAAGTCTCTACACCTACTTCCTGTGGACAGGCTGCAGCCAGAAGTCCTGGGCTTAGGCCTGAGCTTCTCTCTCTTTACCCCATTTTCTCTAGCTGTAAATTAGGATGACAGCATTCAGTCCTCTGTAAGTTGCTTTGAAATGAAGAAAAGAGGCATACAAGAATTCATCTTTTCCATGGAGCTTGACACAAACAGCATGGCCTTTGTGCTGTGTGTCAAAAGTAATTTTCAATCTGTTCATAGTTAAATTGCACAGTTTTGTTTCCATGAATCTTATTATATTAAATGAAAACTGTTGTGCAGTTTGGCTGTTTGCAAAAGAATGTCAGAGTGAGATTTGGAAGATGACTGTGATATGGTTTACTCTCTGCTAGGGCCAGGATCAAGGCACTCCTGTCAGAGCACCAATGTGCCCCAATTCAGGCAGGGAGGGGCAGAGCAGTAGCACTGGCACAGTTAGTGGAGCTCTGCAGATTCAGCCCAGCTGAGAGCTGCCCCACGCGACTCCCGCTCCTCTGCCCGCTTCTATTTGGCCTCTGCAGGCCTCCCGCTAGAACGTTCAGACTGCCTCACCCACCACGTTTGCTGCGTGAACACTGGCTCCAAGCAAGGTCCTCTTCTACCACACTAAATCACAGGAGAAGGTCATTAACAAAAATTTCTGAATCACCTTCTGCCCTGCTTAGCATCCATCGGTCATAGGTCAGTGCCTGAGTATGCTGCAGGATTAAAACAAAATGGGTTGCAAACGCTGTATGACTTGGGTGCTAACCTCCGCCATTTCTTCCAAAATATGTGAAAAAGCACTTACACTGTGACAGCTTTTTCACTCTCCAGGCTACAAGCAGGTCTTCTTGTTCTGTTATTTCCCTGCCATGATCTTCCCAGAAGTGGGGGAGCTTATTAACAAAGAATAACCCTCAAACTTCTCCACAGCCCTTTGCCATTTCTGAGTAATAATCGTGCCCCCTCAGTGTTTACAGCTGTGATTGAGATCCTTACCAGGAACATTATTAAGAATAAATTATAATATGTGGAAATATTACTGTGAAATGTACTGATACCATTATATCAGGATAAGAAAATAAACCACCAGTTCAGAGATGGCAAGAGCAGAAGCACAGGGATCATGTTAAGCAGATATTGGGTCTAACAAACATACACAGGTACTGAAGCCTTAGCAGGGTGCAGAGCTGCAACAGGAAAGTGTGTTGTTCTAGGGTTTTTTGCTTAAAAGATGAGAGAGAGGGCCTAGGGGAGAGGAATGCATGAAAAAGAAAAGGATGAACTTTTTTTTTTTTTTTTTGGCTACTCCACATGGGGTTTTCCTCTGTTTAAATGCTGAAGGACAGAAAGATTTTAAATTAAAATCTTAATAAATATAGCCCTGAGGCTAGTAACATTATTACATCCAAGATGATTACAGCAACCAAGCCACAAAATACATATATATATTTATTTGAAGCATAATAAGCCTCAGTATTTAGTTAGAAGAAGGCTAGGCAGCTAACTGACTTCCAAATTAGTGAATTTTCCATTCCACTCTACCTAAAGTATAAACCAACATGGCACCTGGTTTGCAGAGTTTGTTTCATTTCTATACAAGATAACATTTTTACTACTTACATTTTAGATATATATTTTTCAGATCATATGCATGAGAGTTGGGAGGAAGAAACCCAAGTTTGTAATAGGAAATATGGATAATTATTCAGCTTTGTTGTGAAAGAGGGACCTAGGTCTCCCAGATTTCCTGGGTGAGGCGTGTTTTCCTTGAGACATTTGCCTTTTCCAGTCAATCCTAGTCTCAGTATTAAGATTCTGCACTCTACATGTTTGTGTAAAGGATTGGGGTTTTTTAATTATGGAAATTTTTTAATAAAGGATACAGGGAAAATATGGGATACAAAGGAAAGGATACAAGCTGATAAAGATGATTAAATCATAGAGCGACTGCGGAGTGGGTCATGAAGTGTTATAATCCCCAACTCCCCTCTGCTTTCTGCCTCAATGTGTTAATGCATCACACTTTAGTACAGTGACACTTTCAGCCCTAGGTGGAAATTCACACATGATGAAGAGGTGGAGGAGGATTTCCAGATGGTCAGACCTCAGGGAGTGCGAAAAGGTGGGGGGAGGAAGGGAGAAACTGCTGAAAGGAATCGGACTTTGGTCACATCAGTAATTTCCAGCTGAAAATGGAATATTAAAAAAACCACCCAAACCCCCAAAAACAATCACTAAGGATCCCATACCGGGGCCAGGTGCATTCAGGTTTGGACATTATGTGTGATAAATCCTCACCAATACTGGTTGTGAAAGATCCCTAGGAAATATTGGTTTATTTGTGTGCAACAGAAAGGTGTGAGCTTCATTTCTTTGGCCATATTTTATCCTTGGTACTAAAGCACTGTGACACAGACCCAATTAGTTGTTTTATTCTCCACATTTCCTCTTTACTAGAGGTTATTGTAAACTGGTACTTGCTCTGAACTGTGCACAAGTTTTCACTCTATCAGATGCTGCACTTTGGCTGCTGCACCCTTTGGGACCCTCTTCTGCAGGGCCACCTCTACAAGAACTGTGAAGGCCACTCAGAGACAATGCAAGGCCTGCATCCAGTTGGTCCCAACACACCCCAAAACAGGCCCCACTTTCCCTTTAGGGGAGCATAAGGCAGCAGCTGCTATCACACAGCTGGACTTCTCTAAGATGACCTCATTTACTGTGGTCTTTCAGGGAGAATGGGAAGGTAGTCATGGGCCAGAGTTCAAGGGGTCTGGTCCTTCAGGGTGAAAGGTACTGGAGCTGCATAAAGAATTAGCAATAGATGGTATTTTGTATAGCCACAGCTTTTTCCAGATGTCAGGGTTAGAGAAAATTTTAAGAGTACCAGTTATTTAGGCATCACAGCACCCCTGTATTTTGTGTGCATGCATGTTAGAGATATTCATAACGACATAAAAGCTGAGCATTAGGTATGATGGCTTGGACTGCATTTCTAAGGGCTCTTGTTTCCTTCAGCTTCAGGTGTTCCTCAGGTCATAGGCATTTCCCCTCCACAAAATGTGCACTCAAGCTGCCAATGGTGTGCAGTCACACTGGAAAGGTGCTTTTATTTAATATCATCAGTATGATTGCATGCTGTTTACCTGCATTTCCTGGACAGCAGCTAAGTAAATTTACCACAGCCTGGTGAACTACTGGAACAAATATCATGAGAAATGAGGCTGTTGCACAGATTTCACTTTGGGGAAATGTTTGGTGGATGTCCACTCCCTGTCACTCCCAGTACAAATCATGTTGTGCATTCAGGTCAGGACAAAGTTCAAGGAGACAGAAGACACTTATTCAACTTCTGCTAAAGCAACTTGAAATTTGTGAAACGTGTGGTTTTAGCCGCTGCTGAATTTCTATCCCCATTAATTGACTTTCTATGTTAAAATCACTTGTGTCATAGCAAAATGCAAAGAAACCTTGAGCATCTGATGTGGCAGTGACTTCCATGATGATATATTTACGATGCCCAGGTGCCTTTAGTTGCTGGCTTTAGTGGCAAACCAGAGGCCTCCAAGCCTTGTAAAGCCTTCAGCATCCATCTCGGACTAAGTCCCTTGCAATGACTAGATGAA